CTCTCCTTCTGACCTCTCCTCCCCAAAATGAACAGAAATACAAAAATAAACACCCTTAAAAAATTACAACTCATTTACAAACACCAAAGGAGGAAAATAATAAAAACACAACAACAGGAAAAACAACAATATATCTGTCAAAGTTTTCCATGTTAAAAACAGGTTGCTTGGTTCAGTTTTGCATCCAGTAGAAGGTTACACTGTGTGTGTTTGTGATGGGACCTAATGCTCAGTAAAGTGCATTTGATGCATCAGCAGACAGGAAGAGAGAGAAATGAATTTGGGTGCTAATGTGGCTCTGGGCCTTCCTAACACTGACAGATATGATCGAGCTACATGAACTTTACAACCTCCGCCGTAAACATCACACCTAAAAGACATTTAACATTGAAATAACATTTTGTTTCAGTTTATGCAAATGTAAATACATTCATAAATTACATGTGGGGTTAGGAGAATCAAGCTGAGAAACTAGAGAAGTCTGAAACCGATGAGCGCAACTCCTCATGTGAATAAACACGACCGTAGCCAAAAAAACTGAACTCAAATGACGTTCCATGCATGGGTATTTCCCCCTGAAAGTAGAGGCTGAGAGATGGAGTCTCACATGTACGTACACATTCCGCCGTCGGAAACTGGAATCCTCTCGCTTTCATGAATTCCTGATTGACTCCAGTTCCCATGGTTACGCTGCAGTTCTTAAGCCTATGTGTACCCGGCCTTTAGAAGACCACACCCATCTGACCGAGAAAAACAGAAGCGGTACAAACCAGAGAAACACAAATGAAGTGGTAGAAAGAAAAAGCGCTCCGTTCGCGACACATGCAGAAGTGTGTCTTGGAGCGACGCAAGACGTTTATTTTAATTTTTTTCACGTTTGTCTGTTTTGATTTCCCACCCCTCAATAATTCACTTGGATATCATGCAATAGAGACGTGCAAAAAGATAACACCTAAATCCACAAAACACACTTTCATAAATGGCTGTGTTATGAATGCGTATAACATGTGTATGCCTACTCCATGCCGACCTACAGAGACAATATGACTTAAAAGCAGTGCGGAAGCCACAGGTCAAACGAATGCACAGGATGCCTCTACTGAGTGTATTAAAACCATATGGATGCATAAAACAATTCTTCTCTTAGTCTATGCAGCTATGGGGTCAAAACAATGCTAACATTGCGCTATGTATTTTTGTTTTCCCTTCGCTGATTATCTTTTCATTGGAACTAAAAGATATTGATTGATTGGCACTTGTTCAATGCTTCTAAAGAAGTTATCGATATCTAATGTTTCATCACACACCTACATGTCGAGAAGCTGTGAAGGTCTAGTTTGGCACAGGTTGACTATTATTACTGCGTCTATGTAATTAATATTGATACACCTCGTTTATACCCCTGTCGAAAAACGAGCACAATCCTAATCAACAGACCAGACGTTTTTTTTTCCTCAACTAAAATATTTCTGTATATTTCACTTATCAAATAGCAGCATTTTTTAATTTTTTTAAACTTACGGTATTACAAAAAAGTACATGTAAACCTATTCATTCAAAATTTGTAGTAAATCCAAAGGCTCATACAACAGACATAACAAAACACAAAACTTGACAACATGCTACAATATTGCTTCCAATAGTTCTTTACATTTTAAGTCGATCTAAAATTATCAATGACGTAGATATGGACACCAGCACTCCAAAGAGAGCAACTCTAATGCACAAACAAATCGCAAAGCTAATCTTAACCAGGCTTGATTGGCACTTTCATCATCCACACGAGTATAACGGATAATCACACACTGAAACCAACAGCGCAAGACTGCATTTAGACCACAAACTAGAGGAACTACACCAAAATACACAAAGAACATGAGACGCGACGGATTCCACAGTTTCATTTTTTAAAAAACGAAGGAAAAATGCAGAAATGATCTTCGATAGTTCTCAGAGAGAGGAGAGAGAACACGGAGCACAAACGACAGTGACGTCATCGTTTGAGTTTGAGGTGGCTTTCACATCCATCTCCCTTAGGTTATTGTTTTTTTTTGTTTGTTTGTTTGTTTGTTTTCTTACCCAGAGTTCTTGGGTTTACAAACCTCTACGTTCTCTCAGAGCACAGATTCCCTGTTCTAGCTAGTTTAAGGTAGAATACTGAATCAATCAGGCAGAGAGCACGAGAATCTGATCGCATGTATTAATGTTAGACTATGTGGCGTATTAATCCAGAGGTACGGTGTTCACGACAGGGCAGAATACCCATCGGCCCCTGTGGAGACACACACCCCCTGCAATAAACACACACACACACACAACACATCTGTGGCGACCGGCAGCCTGGAGGGGAAGAAAGCGAAAGTGGAAAGGAGAGACAACAGAAAGCTGGAAAAGTGAGCAAGACATGAGGGAAGAAAAAGAGTTAGTGCAAAGACAGAGGGACGACACCGAGAGAGTGAGAGACAGAATTAATCCTAATGTCATGAGTGTCAACAAGCTGTTTTTCTCTAAATATAAATGACACCTCCTTTTCTGTAATCATATTACCCTCATATTGCTGCACCAAGTGCTTGTGCTTCTGAAATCAGGTACACAGTTTGATCTCCAAACAGTATTGAACAATAATTTATACTCGGAGAACCTGATGTCTCACGGCTGGTACTGAAACATAGTAAATAGTTCGGGAGTACATTAAGCGTACGGCATGTTAAATGGTATGTTGAACGGTATTTAAACAGCAATCATGAGAGATGTGGAAATGTTAATATTCCTCACAATTATGTAATGGATATAAATAGGTTACTCTCTCGCCCTCTCTCTCTCTCCATCTCTCTCTCCCTTCCCTCCTTTTTCTACGTTTCCGCTTCCTCTCTAGCGAGTAGATTAGAGGGCTGATAGTTGGAGGGAGATGATGAATGCCTTTAAGAGTGTGTATGTAGGTCAGCAGTAGATTGGGCTGTGCAGTGTTGTTATATATAGAAGTCCAGGGTTCAAATGGAGATCTGCTAATTAATGACAGGCCTGGGCGCCATGGGGGGGGGGGGGG